GTTTAGAATTCCTAGCCAAAAAATATTTTTATTTCATTGTGCATTCTTAGCTGGACCTATTAGGTGATCATAATCATCCATAATTCTAACTTGTTCCTTTCAAAGTTTTCTCTACTCAGTGCTTTAGTGAAGATGTCAGCAATTTGCTTATCAGTAACACAAAATTCTATGGTGATCAATCCTTTCTCATAGTTATCTCTTAAGAAGTGGTGTCTAACATCTATGTGCTTAGTCCTCTTATGATGAACAGGGGTCTTTGTCATACTTATAGCACTAGTGTTATCACAGAATATAGGAATGCAACCAACTTTAATGCCAAAATCTACTAGCTGATGTTTGATCAATAATAATTGACCACAACAAGATGCAGCAGCAACATATTCAGCCTTAGCAGTGGATAAGGCCACTGAATTTTGCTTTTTAGTGGCCCAGGATACAAGACATGAACCAAGAAAGTGAGACATACCTGAGGTGTTCTTCCTATCCACTAGGAAACCTGCATAATCAACATCAGCATATCCTACTTGATTGAAATTACTACCTTTGGGGTACCAAAGACACAAATCAGTGGTGCCTTTCAGATATCTTAGTATCCTCTTGACAACAGTCAAGTGAGACTCTTTTGGATTTGCCTAAAAACAAGCACAAAGGCCTACACTGAAAACAATGTTAGGTCTGCTGGCAGTAAGATACAAGAGTGAACCAATCATACCCCTATACAACTTTTGATCAACTGATGAACCAGGTTCATCAATGTCTAATTTAGTGGCAGTTGCAATGGGTGTGTCTATTTCTTTTGATTCTTACATTTTAAACTTTTTGATAAGCTCTTTTGCATACTTCTACTGATGGATCATGGTTCCATTAGGACTTTGTTTGATCTACAAGCCTAAGAAGAAGTTAAGCTCACCCATCATACTCATTTAAAACTCACTCCCCATTAATTTTTCAAAGTCCTTACTTATCAGTGGTGGCCCCAAAGATTATGTCATCAACATATAGTTGTACCACAAGGAGATCCTTACCTTTTTCCCTTAAGAATAAGTTACTGTCAATTTTACCTCTTTAGTAACCATGCTCCAGTAGGAATTTGGACAGTCGTTCATACCATGCTCTTGGGGCCTGCTTGAGTGCATAGAGAGCCTTCTCTAACTTGTACACATGCTCAGGACATTCTTTGCTCTCAAACCCTGGAGGTTGTTTTACAACACTTCTTCTTTCAGGTAGCCATTCAGGAAGGCACTTTTGACATCCATCTAATGAAGAGTGAATTCCATGTGTGTTGCAAAGGCTGTGAGGAGTCTGATTGCCTCTAGTCTTGCAACTGGAGCGAAAGTATCATCATAATCTATGCCCTCCTCTTGGCTGTAACCTTGGACCACCAGTCTTGCCTTGTTTCTTGTAACGGTTCCATCTTCATCAAGTTTGTTTCTGAAGACCCATTTTGTGCCAATAACTGATCTGTCCTTGGGTCTTGGAACTAGATGCCAAACTTGACTTCTCTCAAACTGATTGAGTTCATCTTGCATTGCATTCACCCAATCTGCATCCTGTAAAGCCTCAACAATATTTTTAGACTCAATAAGAGATAAAAAGGCATCAAAAGCACACAGATTCTTTAATTGTGATCTAATTTTGACTCCAGATGTTGGATCAATGATAATGTTCTCAATAGGCTGAGAACTTTGATACTTGTGAGGTTTCACAACCAACTGGTTTATGTTAGATGTTTCTCCAATGTTCTATTGTTGAGGAATAGGGTCATGAACAGGTTCTTTTAGGAGATTTATTTCAATTCCTCTTTGATTAGTTCCCCCTGTGTTGATCCCAAACGCACACGCAAGTATACGTGGTTGGCAAGTAATATAATGATAAATTGAGTGTCGAACCCATAGAGACTTGTGTAAACTACTTACTAAATCGCTAAAATTAAAGTCCAATAATATGATTATATTATACTACAATTCTAACTAATAACTAAATTATCAAGTAACAAGTTGATTGTTGTGTATTCAGTAGAGACAAATATTCCAGGGTTGTGATCGATTCACCATTCATATTGTGCTCTCATTAACTCTCCCTTTCATATAATTCACTCATGGTTGCTAATTAATCGATAAATGCTCTCATAGCCTTCTCCCGAAGTACTACTCACCTATTCTCAATAGATTAACGCATATATTCCTATGAAATCAATCTATTAAGAACGCATTAAGATCACGATATTTAATTAAGCACGGTAACTAGGTATATTCCTATCCTAACCATAAATCTGCTCCCTCTAAGGGTTAAGATCATGCTCTCTTCAATTCTTCTCTAATCTAAACACGGTTTTCTCAAGCATAGCATAGATAGTAAATAGAACCTAACTGTTGGCCAGACAATTAAGCAATTAAACACAGAATTGAAGAAACAACCATATATTGGTGAATTATAATCAAGGTCAAGTCAACGATAAACAACAATATTCATGGCTAAATCGCAACCCCAGAACAATGGGTGTTTAGCCACTCATGATGAAATCAAACAATTGCATACGTTTTGAATAATTAAAATTACTAGAAAAGATGAAGAAATCTGAGATGTTCTTGTGTGTATTTTTGCTCCAAATTGCGTTTCTCTAGGCTAAGCTCTGTAAAAAGTCCTCAAAATAATGTTTTTATATGTATTTATACCAAGTAGGGTCGGGCCCAGACGAAAACAACTTCTCCTATGCGAAATAGGACTCTAGCTTTGTGAATTTTATACACCCGCGCCGCACCATGCGCTGCGCTAATGGAAATTATCAGCAGCCTCAACTTTTCGCATCAGGCAGCATTTTACATTGCTGTGTAATTTTCTCAGAGTGAACTTATTTCGTCCTCTTTTAACATCCCTACTTGGAACACGACCTCCAAACACGATCCCGGCTTAATGTCTTGGGCTTTTACTCAGACTTCAAAGCTCCAAATCACTTGAATTCATTCTATAACGCCTACATAGATCGGAATCACTCCTACAAGGCATAAAACACATATTTAGTGCAAAACACTAGCGTTTAAAGCTCAAACTCAATTAAAGTGCAGTAAATTAGAGTGTAATAAGCGACTAAAATACACAATTATAGCCTATCATCAACACCCCACACATAAACCATTGCTCGTCCTCGATCAATCAAACTATACTTTATATAGACACAACCTTTTTAAGCAATTCTCCTAACTCATCATTCCAATAATATTTAAAATAGACTAAGCACAAGAGTGTAACATCTTCACCTCAAGATTTTACTCACAAGTACCACGCATTATTCACAACTCACTCACTTACTCTAACATAGAGGTCAATGACATTACCTTTCCTTCATTAATCAAGTGCCCTCACACAACAAAAGAGAGTAGTGCCACACACTAAAATTTAAGAACAATTAGGAACTCAAGATAGAAAGAATTCGCTCACTCTCAGAAATAACATTATATGCCACAAAAGATGCACCATAAGCTTGCCCGTAGTGTATTATTCTACTAATCGAGCTCATTCAGTCTAAGATCAAGTAGGACTTTATTTGGCTGTAATGTAGGCTGCGGGATGGGTATGATACATTTAGATATAAGAGTGACTATACCTCCCTAAGCACTTTAATACATACACTTTAACGTTGAAAACCCCACACTTATGTCAAACCATAACTCCACCTTCACATCAATGTACATTAACTCCATACTTCTTTAAGCACAATTATATCAACAGTCACCACTATCAGCAATACAACTAATTTTTTTTGTTTTCAATTCATGTGGCTCTTACTTTTTCAAAACAGTGCACCTTTCTCCTTATTTCATTAGTTCCACTCAAAAGCCAACCCAACCACCCCACACTTTAACTTTTACAAAGTTCATGACAATTCAAGTGCTCATGAGAGGTGAAAAGGTTCAAATAGATGGTTAATTCAAACAAATGGGTAAGGCTTGTAATGTGGTTGCCAAAGAAACAGGATTACAGGCTCAAAGGGGTTAACTATGATACATAACAATTAGGCGGGTAATATATTTATATATGGCTCAACAAAGAAATGCCTATATCACTTCCAAGACTGAACAAAACTACTATTTTGCTTTGCAAACGCACGGGGAAAGTTCTAGACATCAAATGCAATGCACAGAATAATACAAAACCTTACACACACATGGAACATAACTCACTTGGGATTGGACTCATCAAGACACTCTAGTCAAAGAAGTTAAGCAAAGTTAAGATCATACAATTTAAGGTACTTATACAAGAGTTAAAAATTGAGCCTAAACGTCACAACTAAAGTACTCACTATTCTCAAGGAATGACAAAGTTAAAAGATATTGCTTCAATTTCAATCATAACACAATGGCTTCTCTCCTAAAAAAAATTAAAACTACCTACACCCGGTTCAAACAAAATCCTTGGAAAAGAACCGCGGCACGAAGAAAAACCAAGGGGGAATTGCTACACTACCTACAAAGAAAATCTTTTTGTCCTTTTTCTTTAGACTTAAATACCTCAATAAAATTGTCTACGAAATCCATCGTCGGGAAAAGTCCAATTTTTTTTTTTAATTTTTTTTCTTCGATTTTTTTTCCAACTAATAAATGCTACAACTTCCTACTAATCATCTAGAGAATTCTCCCACCCCACACTTAAAAGAGTGCAGTGTCCTCAATGCACAAATAAAGCAAAACAATAATAAGGGTGGACAAGACACTCCCTGAAAGGCCAAAGGCCAAAGCAATAGCGGCTCACGAGTACTCAGGCTTCCCCCAGGCATAGTCTCTCGTGTGGGCACCCCACACTTAGTCTTCAACCTCTAACTCGCTTTTGCACTCTTCCAATGACTTTGCCTCATATGTTTATAATCCACAAAACAAAAACAAATACTAATACGATAATAAGAACAAAAAAATAATAATAAAAATAAAAGGAATCAGTAAAGATGGGTTGCCTCCCAACAAGCGCCTAGTTTAATGTCGCGGCACGACTCAGAGTCTCGCCTACTCATCAGCGAGTACAACCTTGGTCTTCTCACGATTAATCATTCCTCCCCAATAATGCTTGACTCTATGACCATTCACCAAGAATTTCCTCTCACCATTTAAAGCTCGTAGCTCGATTGCACCATAGGGCGTGACTCTCACCACCTCAAACGGACCTGACCATCTCGATTTTAGCTTTCCAGGGAATAGTTGTAGCCTAGAATTAAATAATAATACATGTTGGCCTGGCTCGAAGTGACGTGGCTTGATATGCTTGTCATGCCATCTTTTTGTATTTTCTTTATATAGCTTAGCATTTTCATAATAGTGCAGTTTGAACTCATCTAACTCATTCAACTGCATAAGTCTTTTCTCGCATGCGGCCTCAAGGTCCATGTTCAGCTTCTTAATGGCCCAGTATGCCTTGTGTTCCAGTTCAACGGGTAGTGACATGCCTTCCCATAAAACAGCTTGTAAGGGGACTCTCCAATTGGCGTTTTATATGCAGTCCTATACGCCCATAAGGCATCATCCAACTTTGCAGCCCGATCCTTCCTATTAACACTCGCCGTCTTTTCTAATATTTGCTTTATTTCTCTGTTTGACACCTCAGCTTGCCCACTGGTTTGAGGATGATATGTTGTAGCAACTTTGTGGCAAACTCCATATTTGGCTAGAAGGTTACTCAGCAACCNGCTAGAAGGTTATTCAGCAACCGATTGCAAAAATGAGTCCCCTCATCACTAATTAAGGCACGTGGAGTCCCAAATCTCGAGAATATGTTCTTTTTGACAAACGCAGCTACCACTATGGCATCATTTGTTGGTAAGGCAATCGCCTCCACCCATTTTGACACGTAGTCAACTGCTAGCAAAATGTATTTGTTTCCTCTGGATGGTGGAAATGACCCATAAAATCTATCCCCCACACATCAAAAAGCTCACCTTCTAGGATATTATTCAAAGGCATCTCATGCCTCCTTGTGATTGTTCCTGTTCTCTGACATTGGTCACACTTCTTAACGAATGCATGGGCATCCTTGAATAAAGTCAGCCAAAAGAGACCAGATTGTAGCACATTTGCAGTTGTTCTATCTCTTCCATGATGGCCCCAATAAGGTGATGTGTCACAATCATACAACACTAATTCTACCTCTTTTTTCAGGAATGCATCTCCTCATCAATTGATCAGCACATTGCTTGTTCAAATAGGGCTCATCCTAGTAGTAAAAGTTCATATCATGTAAAAACCTCTTTCTTTCTTCAGATTCAATTTCAGGAGGAAATACCCCACTCACACGATAATTCACGTAGTCTGCGTACCATGGAGGAGGGTCTTGGGTTATAGCAAAAAGTTGCTCATCAGGAAATACTTCTTTAATTTGGCCACCCTCCTCCACGTGATCGTGATTTTCCAACCTTGATAGATGGTCAGCTACTTGGTTCTCTGTCCCCTTTCGATCTCATATTTCTACATCAAACTCCTGTAGCAATAAAACCCAGTGCATCAATCTAGCCTTAGATTCTTTTTTTTTTTTGTAAACAAATACCTAATTGTTGCATGATCGGTATGGACTATGACTTTCGTTCCTACCAAGTATGCCCGAAATTTCTCAAAGGCCCACACACCAGCTAACAACTCCTTTTCAGTGGTGGTGTAATTCGGCTGGGCATCATCAAGAGTCTTAGTCGCATAGGGGATGGAATAAAATACCTTGTCCTTCCTCTTGCCTAGCACTGCCCCAATAGCAAGGTCACTCGCATCACACATAAGTTCAAATGGTAAGGACCAATCAGGTGCCACAATAATGGGAGCAGTCACTAACTTCTTTTTAAGTTCTTCAAATGCCTTGAGGCAAGCAGCATCAAAGTTGAAAGTTACATCTTTTTCAAGCAGCCTGCACAAAAGAGTAGCAATTTTTCGAAAAATCTTTAATAAAGCGCCAATAGAAACCCGCGTGTCCCAAGAAACTCCGAACACCCTTCACTGAAATAGGTGGAGGTAATTTTTCAACCGCCTCCACCTTCGCTTTATCAACTTCAATGTCGCTCCTAGATACTCTGTGGCCTAACACGATGCCTTCTTGTCCCATAATATGGCACTTTTCCCAATTTAGTACCAGATTTGTTTCTTCACAACGGGCTAGCACCTTGCTCAAATTCCTCAAGCAAACATCATAAGAAGACCCAAAAACTGAAAAATCATCCATAAACACTTCCACGAATTTTTCTACCATGTTAGTGAAAATAGCCATCATGCACCTCCGGAAAGTGGCTGGTGCATTACAAAGTCCAAACGGCATTCACTTGAAGGCAAAAGTGCCATAAGGACAAGAAAAAGTAGTCTTCTCCTGATTCTCTGGGCATATGACAATCTGATTGTATCCTGAATAACCATCAAGGAAGCAGTAATATTCATGCCCAGCTAACCTGTCTAGCATTTGGTCGATGAATGGAAGTGGGAAGTGGTTCTTGCGAGTTGCCTTGTTAAGTCTTCTATAATCAGTGCAAACTCTCCATCCCGTAACAGTGCGAGTAGTGATTAGTTCATTCTTCTTGTTCTCAACTACAGTCATTCCTCCCTTTTTGGGCACACATTGAACTGGGCTTACCCAGTTGCTGTCAGAAATAGGAAAAAAGATACATGCATCGAGCAACTTGATTACTTCCTTTTTCACCACCTCTTTCATAATGGGGTTTAATCTTCTTTGTTGCTCTACACTGGGGCGGTGTCCGTCATCTAAAAAGATTTTATGCATGCAAAACGATGGACTAATGCCCTTGATGTCAGCTATAGTCCACCTAATGATCTTTTTATGCTCATAGAGTACTCTGAGCAATTTTTCTTCTTGAGTGCTGGTCAAGCTGGATGAAATAATCACGGGCAATGTCTCAGAGTTCCCCAAATAAGCATAGCGCAGATGCGTTGGAAGTGGCTTGAGTTCTAACTTTAGAGCTTCTTCAATAGATGGCCTAGGAAAGGTCAGAGTAACAGGCCTATCCAACTCTTCAAATTTTCTAAACCCATGTACATAACTGCATGACATATCCAGTACTTGCTCAATTTCTCCTATCATTTCATCTTCACTATTTTCTACATCCCCAATCAATCCTCGTTCAACAGGATCTACAGGGCTCATATAGGGCACTAACGATGTGGCATCACTCTCCACCACAGAGATCATGGATAACTCTTCATAGTGGGCTGGTAACTTGAGTGCTCTATAAACATTGAAGACCTCCACTCGATCACCCACTCTCATTGTCATCTTTCCTTCACAAACATCAATAATAGCTCGACCCGTGGCTAGGAATGGACGCCCCAAAATAAATGGGACTTCCTGATCGGGCTCGTAGTCCAGAATAATGAAATTAGAAGGGAATATGAAAGAACCCACTTGAACTAGCACATCTTTAATCACTCCCTCAGGATGAGCAAGAGAGCGATCAGCTAACTATAAGATAACTATTGTTGGGCATGGCTCACCCAACCCCAACTGTCTGAACACAGATAGCGGCATCAAGTTGATGTTGGCTCCAAGATCACATAAAGCTCACCTAACAGCATGTTTACCAATCGAGATTTGGATAGTGAAACTACCTGGATCCTTCAATTTCTGAGGTAACTTGCCTTGAATTCTAGAACTGCACTCCTCAGTGAGTGCCACAATCTCGAACTCGGTTAGCCTCCTTTTATTTGCCACAATGTCCTTGATGTACTTTGCATATTTGGGTACTTCTTGTAAGATGTCAACCAATGGAATATTAATTTGCACCTACTTCAAGATATCAAGAAACTTTTTATATGCAGTATTATCTCTTACTTTCTGCAATCTTTGAGGGAATGGAGGTGGTGGCCTTGTAACCAATTGTGGGGGTTGCTCAGCCACCGCCTCTCCAGCTGGCTTCTCTGGCTCCTTAGCTTTTTCTGATGTTGATTCTATAGTGGTTGGCCTCTCATTAAAAGTCACATGTTTCCTCTTTTTAGACTGAACTTCTTCTAGTTGTCTCCCATTCCTCAACGACACGACATTAAGGGCTGCCCTAGGATTTGCTTCAGTGTCACCTGGAAGAGCTCCAGCTGGTCTAGTGTTCTGAGCACTGGCAAGCTGTCCCATTTGACGCTCCAAATTTCTCACTGTTGTGGCGAGGGCTTGCTGTTCAGCCATCATTTTTTTTAAACATGTCTTCAAGGTGACTTGTAGGACTCGCTTGTTGTTCAACCTGAGGTGGTCTATATTGCTGTTGAGGTGCTTGAGGCTTGTATTGATTCTGAGTGCCCTGGTTTCCACCCCAAGAGAAGTTTGGGTGGTTCCTCTAGTTGGGATTGTAAGCGTTCTCACATTGGTTTGTTTGGCCCTTATTTGAATTACCCACAAAGCAGACAAACTCTGGGTTTGCGAGGCACATGTCACTCGTGTGCCCCTCTCAACATATTTCACAAAAAGCTTGAACCTGTTGTACCTGTTGTTTGTTGATACTCAAGTTCATCTGGTTGACTTGATTGGTCAGTGTAGAAATCTGCGCTGATAATGTTGAGATGACATCTAACTCAAAAACCCCTGCAGACTTTTGCACTGTGTGTCTGCCCATCTCTCCTTTCCAATCCGGATTGCTCTTGGAGAATTTGTTCAATAATGCATATATCCTGTCAAAGCTTTTCTCCAACACTTGACCCCCAGTTGCAGCATTTACCACAATCTTTGTTTCAGAATGTAGCCCTTCTATGAAAGTGTGAGCTAACACTTCATTCGTCTGATTGTGATGAGGACAGTCTCTGAGTAGCCCCTTGAACCTTTCCCAAGCTGAGTATAAAGATTCCCCCGCTTTCTGTTTGAAGTCAACTATCTTACTTCTGATCATTGCAATTTTGCCCGAAGGGAAGAACCTTGCCAGATATTTTCTTGCCAAATCATTCCATGTTGTAATTGAATTAGCTGGTTCTGCCTTTAGCCACCGCATAGCCTCGCCCAACAGAGAGAATGGAAAAAGTGTGAGCCTCACATATTCTGTAGTGACCCCGTTAGTGATGTAAGTATCACTAATCTCCAAGAAGTTTAGAATATGCTGCTGTGGATCCGCGTGTGAAAGACCCATAAATTGTCCGTTTGCATGAAGCAATTGGATCATGCTCTATTTCAGCTCAAAGTGCCCAGTGATCCTGGGCCACCTCCTGAACAGCTATGGGTTGCTCCTCTACCATGTCCACAGGAAATTGAACAAGTGCCTGAATATTATTCGTGCCCCTTGCTTCCCTCAACCTCCTGTGAAATGTTCTCTCAGGTTCAGGATCAAAGGCTTGAAGTCGGTCTTGGCTTCCGTCCTTACGCATTCAATCAAAGTTCCTGAGATCCGAGCAACAATCAAGTAACGTTAGACTCGATGAAATAAATAATT